GGCGACACCTCCCCTCGCCCTCACCCGTCACGTGGACGCCAAGGAGGACGCCCTGGGCCGTGGCCAGCTCGGGTTCCGCCGCCGGGGACTTCCCGAAGACTAGCAGGTCGGGAAGCAGCGCCGCCAACCGGGCCTCCACAGGCCAGAGCAGCGGCGCCCTCACCCGGTCGCCGGTCGCCATGACAGCGGCAGCTTTGCCCGCGGAACTACCGGAAATAGCGTCCCCCAGTATAGCAGCCAATCCGCATGACGGTCCTGGTGGGGCCCTCCCACGGACCAATCAGTGTGGGCTTTCTTGTGGCGGCGCTGATCTAAAGCTGCCGTGGGCCCCGCCCCACCTGCCTCGGAACCTCCCCCTTTGCTGTGGCTTCCGGGGCGGGGGGAGAGGCGGAAGGCCGGGCAGCCGAGAGCAGGGCTGTCAAAGCCTGTGCTAGTGAAGATGCCTCTCCGACAGAAGGGATCATCTGGGACGTGTCAGTAGGGTGGTCTCTGCGTCGTATCACGGGTAGAAACCGGCCTTCCCTTAATTTCTAAGGACAAGTGCTACTGGCACCTGGCTAAAGCACACTCAGGATGGTTTTAAACATCGTTAGATTAAGGCTATTTTACTGTTGGTCTGTTTCAATTGTTAGGGGAGAGATTCTTCTGTTTCTGTTGTCAGCAGGATAGGTCTATTGGGTCTCTCATGGTAGGGCTCCCTGTGGCTGTGTTTTCTCTTAATTCCTGGTTCTGACTTTTGTATGATAATGACTCTAAGGTTGACAGTCTTGCTCAGATTCATGCAGAACACAAAGCCGTATGAGGATGAGCATGCAGTGTATTTTTAACAATCAGAAAAGCATTTTAGTCTTTTCTACAGAAATAAAAAAATCTAAAAATTTTATTTTCACTATAGTTCTACACCACCTAATAAATCAATGCTGTTTTGGAGGGCTAATTTTACTCAAGGAATTACTTCTTTGCATTTTGATTAACACTTCCAGTAGTAAGACCAAATATATAATCAGCCCACAAGTGACAAAATACTTGTCAGCAGGGTAAGAAGGCCAAAAGGGAAGGAAAAGAGATTAAAAGGAGAGATAGCTAAGAGGCCTGGACACTACACATGTCTGTCTACAGAGATCAATTTCAACATTATAAACAACCTAGAACCCAAGAGATGTAGACGTCTCAAAATTCAAATCACTTTTTAGTATTTTTATAAATTTATTTTAAAAAATAACAATTGCAATGACATCAATGATCAAATCGCCTGTACTCCCCCTATTGCTGAGGGGAAAAATATATATAATTGAGTCCCAAAGGAAAATCAAGACATTATTATTATCAGGCACTCAATAGCCAAAAATGTTGGTCCAGTGGTATAGACACTGACATGTTCAATGTACCAGTACAATTAAAATATATACACTTACAATTATCCTGCAAAAAAAAGCACTCAAGAAGTGAAATAACTATGTATTAAACCAATTATTCACTCATCCATTCACTCTTTCTACATCTAGAAGTCATCACTACAGTCACAAGGATATATGAATAAAAGAACTTCTGGCAACAAATAAAGAAAAAATCCAAACCTCAACCCCCCCCAACTTTGTGGGTTATTACGGTGTGCTAAAATGACCACAATAAAAGGGTCATGAGTTAGCTGAAATGCAATGACAAAATGACAACTGAAGCATTTAATTTTAAACAAAACTCAAATGCATGAAGAAGTAATTCTGCTACAATAAGGTTGGAATCACTATGTACAAACTTACACACACAAATAAATAGCATTTTAGAATTGCTATTGGCTTAAGTACTAGAAATTAGGTCTGAGGAATCTTTCTGAACTCTGTACCTTAAAGATTCTTAAACAAACCAAGGGATAGAAATTCCTTTGTTTTTAGTAATCTATCATCTGAAAAATTTGGGGATTACTGGATAAAGTTAACATCTAAAACTCATATAGAGCCAGAAGTTTCTAGTGAGCCTACCAAAGAATCAACCCCTCCACTCCCCCACATCTGGAAGCCAGATGACTGGATTCCAGGAACTAGAAAGATACTTCACTTCCTGCTTTCTTTGCATAGCTCTGTCCCTCTATTTCTACCATTACAATGCTTTCCCTTTGTGATGTTTCCTTTAGAGAGTTAAGTATTTTCTCTCTCTTAAAACAATCAGAGTAAAATATAAAAAGACCCAATCTTTACTCTTGGTATTTAAGTCAAACCCAAACGTTCCTCAAAATAATTTTCCTTTTGTTTTCACGATAAGCAGAAACTCTTCTGAAATATATTTCTACTGGGGTTCAACATCTAGAAAAGAAATGAGGCACAACCCATTCTGGGAACTGTGGCCCAATTCCCTTCCCTACAGGCACCTCTATTTCCAGTCTTTAATTTGTCCCCAGAATGTAGATGCAATGTGAAAACTTTCCTGCACAAGGCATATGGAGAAAGGGGGGAAGCAAATGGAAACTGGCACTGAGTCAGCTGCCATGGGAAGCATGAGTATGTCCGTTTTCTGGGGCCAGCACAAAGCGTTGCAGGAGTGAAGCCAACATCCACCATAAGCTTGAGCAGATAACCTGGAGACCATCCAGGACAGCTTGATCGAACAGTGCTTTCCAGAAATTGTCAAGGACCAAATCTCAGACTTCTACTTTCCGTTGTTAAAAGGTTATAGTGTAAATGTATTCTCTTCATTTTAATGATCCATCCTAGGAATCCATCCACTGAAGAATCATGCTATATGACAACACATGGGTGTATATACTACTCTTTTTCTAGACTGAAACACATAAACCCTTCTGTTTTCCAAATGTTGTCACCAAGCCTCTGATTGAAAATCTCTAGTTTGCCTCTCTGTTTAGGAGTTACTACAAATGTCCTCAGCACTTCAGCACAGTTGTATTGTTTTGTTCTCTACTTAGAAAGTTTCAAGGTCCAATACCTTCTAAATTGTATTAAAGTAACCATAGTAAGAACTATGGTCCAGATGACCTGTCAACAGATGGACAAGCAGATCACAACTGGTCAAAGCTAAAAAAGATTCAGCAATTATTGTTTTTAATGCTTGATTCTTTTATCATTCTATTCCCAGAATTAGCTTTTCCTTCGCTGGAGTCTAAAAATACCAACCTATCATCTGGGCAAACAGAAATTCTTATTATTACCACAGATTATATGAATGTATCTCAGAGAATTTATTATTTCCATATTACGAGATGGAACTTCCATGCCCAGAAGTCATCTCTGAATACAAAGTGTCCATTCACATAGCCTGAGATCCCTTGTCAGAAGGATGGAGGATGGTGTTTAGATTCCACGGGAAGGAGTGGGCTGCAGCTTCCCTGATTGCAGTTTAGCTGGAGAAGGTTGTTCGTCCCTGCTGAGACAACTAGCTGGCTTCACCAGTCAGCATCTAAGTGCTGTGTGTGGTACTGCTGTGCTGGCATGAGTCCTTTGCATCATCCTAGTCCATGAAATGTCAATGCCATCAACAGTCTAAAATAGGTCCTGACTGAAGGGTGAGACAAAGCCTTGCAAGTTCAATTTGCCAGACACCACTGCAATTACAATACTGAGCCACTTATTAAAAACTAAGTGGGTTTCTGTCCTGTAGAAAAGGGCAGAATGTGATCATCAGTGTCCCATCGGAAGAAGTGATCAATTTCCTGGTATAGTGGCGAGGAACATGACCTTGATCAGCTCCATCACGTGGCCTGGGGTTAGGACACTCGGATGATCTGTGTCATTGCTTCTTCATCTGTTTGGTTTGGATCCTAGAGACAAAGAAAGCATAATAATGGTTAAAGTCCTTTGCAAAAGCAACAGGAACTTGTTGCTTTCACTACTTTATCATTAAGGGCATAGACACAACTTTGCCAAGTAACCCAAAGGCCTGCATGCAGTGTGCATACATGGATTAAAATGCAGCTCCATTTGGAAACAGGAGACAATAAATCTTATTCTTAAAAGGATTAAAAATCTGATCTAGCCTGCACTCCATTCCTGAACACTCCAGAGTTGATAGCAGACCTGTGTTGTGCTCTACCCTTAGTGTTTAAGGGTCCTTAGAAGCAGCTAAGAAAAAGAGAGAAGCCGTCTCATGCAGTACTTTTGTGTCATTATTTTACGATCATCATATTTCAATGCTGAGCACTTAGCAGAGCTAAGTGATTGGGATTTATTTAATGCACTCACTTAGTTAAAAGGTATAGTGTAACCTAGGTTACAGATAAACTTGGTGCCCAGATGGGTAAACTGATTTGCTTGGGCTAGAGTCAAAAAGTTACTCAGGAGCCCAGCAAGGACCAACTGCCAAATCTCTTGGTACCCATTTAATATTCTTTCCACTAAACTCTGCCTGCTGCCTCTCACAACCCGAAGTGTTAAGACAAGATTTGCCTGTGGAAGTTTTTTGCAACACTCCACAATAACTGCCTTTAGTTCTTCTACACCAAGGCTCTGAAGCCTCAATTGGCATGATCTAAGGATAAGCTGAAAGATTCTGAAGGTGGTAGGCCTGGAGCTTTGTCTTGGTCAATGAGTGAGAAAAACAACAGCATTTACTGAGCCCTCAACATGCACTAGGCTAAGGAGGCACCTAATGTGACTTACTACATGAAATTCCCACAACATTCCTGTGAAGTATCAACAGCACCCCACTTTACAGGTGAAGAAACTAAAAGAGGCTAAAAGACGCTAAGTAACTTGACTGAGGTCATATTGTTAGCACAAGGAATTAGCAGAGTTCCTGGCACAATGCCCACAGCTGGCTTCTCTACATCTATACCCTGCATAAAAGAGTAATGAGAAAGGAGTGGTTCTCACACTACACGTAGGAATTACTAGTATAGAAGGAATTAGTGCTCATGTGTAGGAACACCACAGAATACCAGTATGACTGGCAGGCATGATGAGGAAAAGTTCCTTGGATGTTGTACAGAAATAGTTTGTGATTTGATGCAGTAAAAATGAGAAACTAGCATGCATCCTTGAGCAGGGGCCTGAAACAATTATAAAAGCACTACCTTCTAAAGACTGACTGGGCTATAATGGAGGTGGGGTGTGATGGTCATACAGAATGAAGTAGCGGTGAGTGGGTGGCATCCATTAACTCAACAAACATTTACTGAGTGCTTGTTTAGGATGGGGCATTATGCTAAGAGCAAAACAATCCTCTACTCTTTACACAGCTAATAGTCTAGTGAAGGAGACAACCACTGCACAATTACACAAATAAGGCAGTTCAAGTACTATTAAACTCTAAAGAAAAGGTAGATGTGGGGAAATAATAGGGTAGGAGAGACATACTCTGGATAGGGTTGGCTAGGGATAGCCTCTCAGATTTAAACCAAGACCTAAAAGATGAGATAGCCATGCAAAAAGATGGGGAGTGAAAAGCTTTACAGATTGGCTGTTTTGAAGACAAAGGTCCTAATGGCAGGAGACAGAACAATGAACAGTACAAGCAAGAGCATAAAGACCAAGGAGTAGGAGGAAATGAAGCCAGAGGCAGGCAGGACCTAGATCATGCAGGACCTTGTTGGCCAAGGTAAGCACTTTGGATTTTAGTCTTAAGTGTAAATGGGAAAGGATGGAGGGTAGAAGTTTAAGCAAGATGCTGATGTTATATGATATACATTTAAAAAAGATCACACTAAGATGTGGCTAATGGACCAGGGTGGCACAAGATTGGAAGGGAGACCAGTAGGGAACTGTTACATTAACTGAAACAAGAGAGAGAGGATTAGACTAGGCTGACAGCAGTTGGGAGGGAAAAAAGTAAACCGAATCAGATTATATTTTAGAGATAAAACCAAAAGTTGGACAATTCTAGTAACTGAGTGGATGGATACGTCACTTGTTGAGATGAGTGGTTGAGGCATTAGAAAAAAATCAAGAGGTCTATTTGGATATATTGATTCAGAAATGCTATAGAATAAAATCAGTGGAATTAGATGTAAGAACCAGTACAATATAGGAGTTACAGAGTAAATCCTGGAATTACATTGCCTGGGTCTGAATTTCAGTTGTACCATTTTATTAAGTATTTTACTTAGGCTAACTATTTAACCTGTTCAAACCTCCGATTTTACTGTAAAATGGAAACGTAATTCTTACCTCATGGGGCTTCAGGTTGCTGTAAAGATTCAGTGAAAAAGAAAAAAATAGCTTATAAAAGCACCTAACATAATGGCTGGCACATAGCAGTAAAGTGTTAGCTGGTGGTGTTCTTTGAAAATCAAGATAAGTGAGAGTATCAAGAAAGACTATTAAAAAAAAAGGAAAGTATTAATAACTGGCAAAGGTTGAGGGGGTAAAAAGGCCACTGGGTTAAAGACCTTTAAGTGCTAAAGACCTTTAAGTGCTTTAAGACAAAATGGACAGAATGTTGCGTCCAATTTAGAGAATAGCAAGAGAAAAATGCAAAGGCTTCAACCCAAGAAAATAGAAAGCAAGAAGAATGAGAGGTTTAAGCCTTCTTACCTGCATATGAGGACTATCCTTCTCCTTTGGAGAGAAAAACCGTCCACCTTCACCACGCTTCCGTGCCATGGCATGACGGTGCCGAGACTCATGCAGGTATTTCTAAAACAAGAGAAATAAAACCATTTAACTACTAGCTGGAACCAGCACAGTTATCTAATGCACAAGTTCCATCTTCAGTAGTTCAGAAAAGCACTGATTAAAGCCATCATGGGCACTTACGACTTTGAATTATGGAGAAAGCTTTGGGGAAAACACTAGATAGCAGCTTACTGTATATAACTACTATGAGAATGTAAATGCTAAATAAATATTATAAATTCAAAAAAAGACTACTCGAAGGTATCCCAGAGACAGCTAACTATCACCCAATATGTATATATCCGTTCCTTTGCTTTAATAACGGACTAAATTTTCCTTGGGCAAATGGCTGCTTAGTAAAAAGACTGCATTTCCTACCCTTATTTGCAGGTAACTGTGGCCGCGTAATTAAATTTTGGCTAATGAAATATATAAAACTTCCTAAAAGTTTCCTTGAAAGAGAGTTGCCTCTTTTGTTCCATTTGCTCCTAGGCTGGAGCCCAAGCAGCCATCTTGGACTATAAGTAGCGTACTAAGAATATCAGAATAAGACGGGGAGAATGGGTATCGAGGGCTGTGGAAATGTGCTACCAGCTCAGGACAATTTATCTCTGGACTTCTTTTATGTAAGAAAAACTTTTAAAATTTAAGCCAGTATTATTTTTTTGTCTCTGTAGTTGCAGCTGCATATAGCAATGACAAATGATAACTTTTATAAAAGATAAGAGCTATCTATCTACCTTCAGTTGTTTGAAGGTACTCAAGGAAATAAATCATATAAAAGGTAATCACTTCTCAAAGCAGAGCCCTGGTACTCTCTTCCTACATCCTTCCCAATGTTACACATACCCTTCTTTCCTTTGGAATTTTCCCTTCTGCCTCTAGTTTGGCTCGGGCTTGCCTCCTCTTAAGTATGCGGTGGTACTGTTTGGCATTCACATAGAGAGGCTCTTCCTCGAGCATCTCTGCCCCAGGTAGAGGGATTCTTTGGATAGCAGGCACAGAGCCAGCACCAGGTACCATCTGTGTGAAGAGAACACTAGTTTATTAAAAAGTGACATGAAGTATGGACACAGGAAACAGTTTCTTAATCCATGTTAATCTAGTTTCTTCTGACTGCTACCAAGAGTAGCTTTTACAGGGTATTCAGTTAAATGCATTTCCTGGAGAACATTATGTTTTAGAACATAAAACTAAATGCATTTTAAACAAACATTACAGATAATTACATTATAGGGGGCCCAGGAGCCACACTAAGAAACAACATAACCTGATCCAAATTCTTGTCCATGCATGGCTCCAGTTTCTAGGAATGTCTGCTGCCATCTAGTGGTCCAGAACAGTAATCAAAGACAATAAAATAGTACAAAGGAAAATAGGGACAAATTTACCAAGTGCTACTTAATGCCTATAGTTATACAACTAATTAAGTTAACTTACTATATAATTCAATCCTAATTTTTCTAAACAAACAAAAACAAAACATTGTACTAAATGTATGATGAAACAAGTCTCCTTTGCCTCACTCCCTTACCAACTATAACAACTTTCAACATCTGCATTGTTTCTTCTGGTAGTTTCCTCCATCTCAGTGCAGGCTTCTATTACTCAATTCTTACGTTATCCATTTTAGGTACTACAGACTGACATCCTATTTTGACATATGAGGCTTTAGCTTTCACACACACCACCCAACTCTCCTTCCTTATCTTCTCAATGCATTTATACCACATATTTTTTCTTCTCTGATTATAATCTTTCTGAATTTTAGTTTACTTCTTGTTTCATCCACTAGAGACAATGTATTTTCCAACTGCCAAAGATCAGTAGTCTAACTCTCCCTATTATATCTCCAGCACCGAGAATAGTGCCTGGCACACAGTAGGTCCTCCGAATGAATTGTGGTCTGTTGTAATGTTTATTATAAAAGTAGATCGCTGTAACTGCCTTAAGGATCAATCTCAAGGCCAAGAAGTCAACATTATAAACAAACTTTATGAAAGACATCAAATTGCAGATTCAAGAATTTTGCAAAGACAGAATGATATGTGGAAAAAGAAATTATAGGCGATAACAGTGAGCTGAAGAATCAATATTCTTACCATGACCATCCCTCCTGAATTGACCACATTGCCTGCCACTGGTAGTGTCACAGTGACAGTCCCTTGTCCACTGCTGGTTGTATTGGTGTTGGCTCCTGTCTGAACAATCTGTGCTCCTGCCAAACTGGCTGCTGGGATGGTGATCATGCCTGAAACAGGGACTGTAACTTTAAGAAAATAAAACATAAAACAAAAAACAGGTACACAGAAAGAAGGGAACAGAGTTAGGTCCTCTTCTATCTGGCACACTCATTCACCCTGGAAAAACATACTAAACAGCACAAGGGTGGAAAAAGCACTCACCCACTCTCTGCCTGGTTTAGTACATAAAACCCACATAATAATCTTTGAAACTATTAACTTTCTGGGTACTAGCTTTGAATAAATCTATCCTTGAAATGGATACTTTCCTGGGCATTACAATAATAGTTTTCAATGGATGGTGAGGCAGTTTGGAAGCTTCCTCTTCTATGGGTCAGTCTGACTAAAGCTATATCCAGTTTTTGTACATATGAACAATCTGCTTCAGGATGGAGATTTTATAAACCTGTAAGTTGTTCATCCTAAACTGACAATGAACCAGCCAGTTGCAGGTCTGAAACTTAAATCAAGCACCCCAAGTTCCCAAACTAGCAACAGCAGCACGTGAGGAGGATGTGTTTGCCATTATCTGTTTGGGCTCCTGCCAGTGCTCAATCCAGTTCAGGCCCTCTCTTGAGTCATACACGAGCACTGTTACTGTATTCACTGGATCTTGCATACTGCTAAGTCTTTAATCTTAATTACAAATCAAACCTTTAGTCATGGAATATGAGATGTCCTTTTAAGATTTAACTATCTGACAAATGCTTCCAAAAGCTCTTAAGTTCAGTTTGAGGCACCTCCTCCTCTCAAGCCATATTTCATCTCTCCCTTCTGTTTGCATCACCTATTCCTAGGACATACCTCTATAAGAGCTCTGCACTGTATGTGTTCACAGTATGCCTTCTTTATTAGACTAGAGGCTGTTTGAAGAAAAAGTTCTTCTTTCTTAGCAAAGTTCTACATACATAATAGGCATATAAGTCTTTTTGGAATAAATTAACAATGGAGTGGCACAGAAAAAAATACAACTAAGCAACAACACTCCAAATGCCAACTTGATGCTGATCCATTTCTCCCTCTACCAATGAAGAAACTCCTATTTCTAATCTTTTATTTAGAAAGTGTTAAGCAGAAGATTATTATATTAGTTCCAGGTGTAAACCCCAGTAAATAGACTTTACATAACTTACTAAGTGATCATCTCAATAAACCTCATACCCATCTGACACCATACATAGTTATTAGAATATTACTGACTATATTCCCACGTTGTACTTTACATCCTCATTAGGCCCAGTCTTTTAACTACCACCCCAGGGACTCCTACAAATGGAATTAACAATGGTCATGTATTGGTGATAAGGAACCAACAATCAATGGAGACATATTTTTTATTAAAAAATATGTCATGTACAGGTCACCACAAAATTTCTGAAGTATCATTTGCTTAAGGGATGAAGATGATGCCCCCAAAAGTAGACAGAAATGAATGGGCACACTTACCTTGCTGGAGAATGGTGCCATCTGCATTAACTGGCTGATAAACGATGGTCTGCCCTTCAGCAGTCTGTGCCACTTGCTGACCCTGGACAGCAATCTGCTGTTGTGTCTGTAGGAAATAAATCATGACACAATTTAACAGATTCTAAAACATCACAAAGAAAAGAACCATATAGTCTTTTTTTTTTAACATCCTCACCCAAGGATATGTTTTTATTGCTTTTAGAAAAAGAGGAAGGGGGAGAGAGAAACACTGATGTGAGAGAAACACCAATCGATTGCCTCCCGTATGCACCCAGACCCGGAATCGAACCCTGAAACCCAGGCATGCACCCTGACTGGGAATTAAATGCTCCAACTAACGGAGCCACCTGGCCAGGGCTAGTCTTTTTCTTAAAAATATTTTTGATGGTCTTCTCCCCCATTTCTACATGTGAAACATGGCTCAGCTGTCGGACCCTTCCAAATCAGCTATGTTCCTGTGTCCACCAGCTGGTAGAACTACCTGGCTCTGGCCAGCGGTGACAGCTGTCTGGGGCTGCTGGATGATGATCTGCTGGGTCTGGCCCTGCTGGCCCTGAACCTGCACGGCCTGCCCACCCTGGATCTGGATCTGTCCGGGTGGCACCAACTGTATCTGTGGAAGACAAAACAAAGAAAGCTTAGTACCTTGCTGACACTGGTATCTTTCGGTCCTAGAGCATTAGTTACCCAAATTACTCTACAAAGTGGAAAATGCTGTGAAGAGGAAAAAAACAAAACAAAACAGCAGTCCTGTTCTGCTATTATTTATGAGAGATAACTTGTTTTCCACTTATGAAACAATGGAGGAGTTCTGACTGCTGCCCGGATACTGAATGATATTACGGAATCAATGGCAGCTTTTTAAAGATGATACTGCTGGCATCGTGACATTTATTTTTAGAGCATGTTTATTTAAAAATACATTCTGAAGTATTTTTTACTGATGAAATGATATATTTTATATTCAAAATGATTCTTGAGAGAGTAGGTGAATACAGATGAAACTAGAAAGACTGATTATGTGCTGATAACTACTGAAGATGGGTGTGGTGATTCATCAGAGCATTCTCTTTTTTGTCTATGTTTGAAGTTTTCTCTAATAAAATGTTGGGGGGAAAATAAGTCATTTCCAGTTTTTCCAACTCTAAGCTGGAATTGTATAAAAATGTATACACCTCTATCAAGGAGGAGACCTCCTTGAAGGATGTATGTCTCAAGCCCCAGACCCTGCCAGATGAGCACTGGACCAATGGCAGTTGCAATCTCACTAACTCCATCCCCCCAAATTACAACAAGACAACATTTGAGGGCTAACAACTTCAATGTGAGTATTCAAACACAGTACAACTGTTTTCTCATCTTTAAACTAAGAACAAAACTACCTCCTCCCCTAAGTCATGAGGCCAGCTTTAGAACACTTTTAATGCTATTTAAAAATATTTAAGACACCACTTTAATAATAAACACCAAGATCGTGTCTTCGTAATTACAGTGGTTAAGCTTGGGCAGATGTGAAAAAGTGGGTCATATAAGGCTGGTTTGTTTTTTTAAACAAGTCAACAAAGTTTGGGAACCTTGGGCTCTGTGGTATTTATTACAGCAGTATTTATCAAAATAGGGTTCTGTGATTTCTTAAGTATAACTTAACTTCTGAAAGGGTAGGGTTATGAAGAGAGAAAGAACAAAATTAGACCCATAAAATAATTTCTGGAAGTGTTCGACTTCCCACTTGCAGGTTTACTTTAAGGAAGGGGCAATGTCCAAAAAAGATGACCAGAGAAAGCAAGAGTCAGAGAACCTCATTTTGAGTTTTCCCAAAAGTTTTCCAGGGAAGCCTCACTGTCCTGCAGATATCACTCCCACATGCTAACTGCCTTTACAAGGAAATTCTTCTTCCCAGTCCGGATTGTGCCATAACAAAAAATGTACATCTAATCCACATTAGTTCCTAACCTTGTTAGGTGAACTGTGTCTCACCCAGACTGTTGCCTAGTGTTTCAAGGTGAATGTAGCAGGTTATATTTTAAATCATATTTTAGATTTAATCAAGGTGGGATTCATTTTTAAGTTAAAGTTCAGAGATGGCTCCATCTAAATACGGCATTGCTATTTTTAGTTTATACCTTTTGTAACTGCTGTCATCATTCATGCCTTATTCACCACAACTGTGTTGAGCATTTTTATATTTTTAGTAACTGCTTTTGCAAGCTAATTTATGTACTGATATTAAAATGAAAAAGTTTGTTTTTAAAAATTTAAAATAGTATACAAAATCCTTAAACATGCAGGGAAGTTGAGGCTATCATATCAGACATACCCACAGTCACTGTTCAGATTTAACAAGCTAATATTCTGTCATATTTGCTTCGTTTAACATTCCCTTCCCAACTAAAAGGTAATCACTCTACTAAAACTGGTGATACTCCTTACAGAGCATATTTTATACAAGTATATCCATAAAAATATATAGTGCTGCTTAATAAGTTTATAAATCTCAAGTAAATGGCACCATATTGTATCTTTTTATAATTTGCTTTTTTCAGTCAATGTGGTGGTTTTCAAGGTATAGCTAGTTGAAATAGAACTAGTTCATTCGTTTCATTTGGTATAAAGTATCACGCTAGATAATTATACTCTAACTTATTCATCCATTCCTGTTAACTTTTGGGTTTGGTACTATCCATGGTTTTTGGAATCCGGTAGGGATCTTGGAATATATTCCCCATGAATAAGGGGGATTACGGTAGTCAAATCAAAATTTTTTAAATGTCTTTTAAGAAATCCTTCTCTATCCCACTGCATAAAGAAAATTCTCCTGCGAAGAGAATCTAGTTTCCCAGTATGCTCTTTTACATTTAGATCTTTAATCTATCTAACAGGTATTTTTGTATATAGTATGACTAGAGATTTTCTTTTTCTGTATCACTTTTTTTAAAAATTAAAGTTGAGTTGATATACATTACATTAGTTTCAAGTGTACAATATAGTGACATAACACTTATATACCTTACAAAGTGTCACCATAAGCCAGTCTAGTAACCATGTCACCATAAAGCTATCACGATATTACTGATTGTATTTCCTATGTCATATGTTACATCCCCATGACTTATTTTATAACTAGAAGTTTGTACCTCTCTATGCCCTTCACCTTTTTCATCCTTCCCCATCGCCCTCTCCTCTATCATCAGTTGTTCTCTGTTAGTTTTGTTTTTTTTAGATTCCACATATAAGTGAAATAATTTACTTGTCCTTCTGACTTATTTCAGTTAGCATAATACCCTCTAGGTCTATCCACGACGTACATCTATATAATTCTTAAACCACTTCTTCACTAATATTTTATGCTATTTTTGTTATATACCAATTTCCAATATTCTTGAATCTATTTCTTGGCTCTCTATGCCAGTTCCATTGTCTATATCAAGCCAGGGAGCCTAACCTAAAATTGTATGCAAAATTTTCCATGAATCTGGACATCTACACCTTTTCTAAGAGGGCACAGGATCTCGTTGGAATTCTAAAATAGAGGATGCAATGTAATAAAGGTTAAGAAGTACTTTTCTAAAAGAAATAGCTATTCAGAACACAATTCTTATAAAAAAGAATTGAAATCTTATGCATCGGAAGAAAGGCTATGGAATCTTACCTAGAGCCTTATATACGTAACAGAAAACAATTTTCCTAGGATGATTTGACTAGTTACTTACAGTCCTGCTTGGTGAGAGGAGAATAAAATAACCCTGTAAGAGACTCTTAAAGGCAAATATATAAATAAATTAACTAATTCCATAAAATCACAGAATTTAGAGCTGGAATGAACCCTAGAAATCACCTGATGTAAACTGCATTTTCAGATGAGAAAACTGACAATCAAATGACTTGGACAAGATCTGAAAGCTTGTTTAATGGCAGACCTGGGAATGAAAAGTCAGGTCACGGCAGCCCCAGCGCCGTTCCTAGCACTAGCACATCATCTCCATTCGAGAGTGGAAAGGAAGGCGTGGCGGGGGGACGACGAGGCGGCAATCAGAACAGAAATGAAATAGCAGTGTAAAATAGAGTCAAGTACACATACTTATTTAAAGCCTTATACATTTTTTCATGGAGAAATGTGGAAACTGTTTTTAATCCTAACTACAACTCTAGCGTGGCAAAAATATGCCAACAGCTTTAAAAATGCTCTTACTCCTTACCCAAGCAATCCCCCCCACTCCAAAGAAACTACCCAAAGAATTAATTCAACTGAAAAGAAAACTACCATGCTCAAGGAAATTTATAGTAACCTTACCTATAAAAGTAAAAGAAATAAATAAATAAAAACAAAGTGTGCGTGGGGGTGGGTGGGATTGATGTGCCTCCCTCACAGGTAAGGATTTACCAAAACAAAAAGGGGCAAAGGAATGTGGAAAAATTAAAAGTCTGATTTATCAAGCAGTGTGATTATGGCTGACTTTTTCCAAATTATATTAAATTCCTCCAGAAAAGCAAGACATTAATGCTATCACTTCAACTGTTAAAACAAAATATAGACATATAGTATAATATTAATAGTTCTTCCCCATCCCCATGCTATTAAACATATATACAGAGGGGTCTGGCTATTAATTACAAAGATGGTATCACACAGTGCACGTTTTCTTACAAATTATTTTTCACCAGAAGTACCTCGATATTAACCACCCCCATGTCAACAGTTCATCCTTTTACTAACGTAATATTCCACATCTGAAGATAGTATGACTTATTCAACAATTTCCTTATTCTTATTAATAGACATTCAGGTCACAAAACAGCTTTTTGGCAGTATAAGGCTGCAATAAATGTATTTGTATATTTCTACCTATATATTGATGCTTTTAGTCCTATAGGATTCTCAGAAGTGGAAGAGGTTTATGTATTTAAGAGTGAGACGCTTTTCCAAAATGACTTCAAAACTTCAAATTACCTAAATAATGAGTTTTTCCTTTTCTCCACACCCACTGTAGAACTAGATATAATCATTCTTTTTAATTTTTGCCAAATTGACAGAAATCCCTCTACTTACAAAATTTGATGCCAGAGTTGCATGTAACATCATACTTACTTCTTAATCTCTTCTATATTTTTGTCTTTACCTTTGTTTTCTGTTTCACAATCAGTCTTTCCAGTAGATTTATCTATTTTAATGATCTGCTTAAAGAATCAGATTTATCCTTTCTACATTTTTGTTAGTTTTCTACTTCAGTAATTTTAACCTACTTTTTGCTCATTTTGTTCTTTTCCTAACTTCTTATGAGAAATATTATTCATTTATTTTCAATTAAAATTAAAAGTATTTTGCTTTAAATACAGTGCTAGGTGTGTGTGATGGGTATGGACTGAAATAACTTTTTTTCATCACTTGCTAGATAACTCAAATTACATGGAAAGAAAAGGGGAACATTTCTGAGGAAAAACAAGAATCGCCAAAGCAGATTGTAAATTTCCTCCCTCACTGACTAGAAATACCAACAAAGGTCACCCAATGAATTACTTTTATTAAACAAGATTCCCATCTCTTCATATTCTTTACATTCATTCAAAAATCATGCCTAATTAGTCCTTACCAGAGATGTACAATTTCTGTCTAGTTCTGCTTTATCACTGGTACTACAAAGGTGGACTAATGACTAAATGCAAAGAGAGTAGGAAGCAATTATATGCAACAATACCAATTGTCAAACAGCTTGTAATAAATTATTCTTTAAAAACCTCTATTCTGATATTCTGTCCAGACACTTTCTCATACCACTCACCTGCTGCAAACCCTGTGTCCCAGATACAGGTACTTGCATGATGGTTTGGCCTTGTCCACCAGGGACAGCCTGGACCATGATGGGTTGGCCAGTTGATGTGATCAGCTGGCCCCCACTGACCTGTACCATTAATGGCTGCCCCTGGACCTAGAATAAAATAAAATAAGCACAATGAAATAACATAAAACACAAAACGGTTTTTTACTAAAAGACAATCACTGGAACTATTTTGCTGCCTTGCTAGAGGGGAAAAAGGCAGGAAAGACCCTAAGATAATAAGTCTCAAGTCCTGTCTTCTTCAAGCATCTATGGTATCTCTGATTAAAGGCCAAGCTGAATATTTCAGTCAGCTATAATGGAGTATATCAAGTCTTTGGAGGTTTCAATATATATAAGGCATTTATCACCAAATACAGGCTATATTCATGAGACGCGTTTAATCAAAATGTCAAGACTATTTGCCATTTTAGAATAATATCCAAGAGTGATCTCTGGTCAGGGCTGAAGAGGAGGCAATGAGAAGGGTGGCTGGTGGTGGTGATGACGGTTAACTACAAATTCTAAATAACCCGGAGGAAGTAAATCAAACTGTACCCAGCAATGACCCCAGGAGGCTGGGTAACAAGCCTTTCTGGAATCTTATGTAGAAGACCTTTTCTCCCCATAGTTTCTCAAGCATAAATGAAATATACTTCACCTTATATTTTGGGAATTCTAGTTTGGTGGTTGATCAAAGAGCCCACTAGTAAAAACTGCCTAGACATACTTTCTGGTCAGTTTGCAGTACCTGCAGTGGAATTTCTCACACTGGACCCTGCAATACCTGCAGTTACTTTAACTAAAGTTAGTTAACAGAAGCAATGGCAAATATGGAAATTACACAGAGCACTCAAGTATAGCAAAAAATTTCCCAACTTTGAAGCTCCCATGAATAAACAGAATATTTTAAAAGCCAGGACATTGTAAATGCTTTCTTGTACATTCCTGAGTCCCAATATAAAAATAACTAGCTAATAGAAATGCTTTCTAGAAGCCAAAAAACAAGCTATTTTAAAAGAGAAATGGAATGAATGTTCAACAGAATAGCTAAAAGTCAAAAACTTTCATTTCCAGATTCTGTTTTAAGGAATTACTTGTAACATTACAAAAGAATATTTGCATGACTAAAATAGTTATTTTTAATGCCAGTGAAAGAATGTTCAAATAAAATTAATAAAAAGATCAATCGGTCCTAGGGAAGTAAATTAGGCATTAAGCACACCCTCCCAAGTGTACTAGAATCTTTAGAAAGTCAAAACCCTAGCTTTTGTTAAACCATTCATTGAGAAATTCCACTTTAATATTAAGAACTTTACAATCTGATTCTCATGCTTTCTCCTTTCCTTACTTCTCCACCTCAATCAAATCCCCTTTGTTATACCAATGTATGCATATGCTCTATCAGGAAATATTTTTTCAGAATATTTATTGCATGAATAACTGAAAGAACTATTTAAAATTCTCCAAAATAATGAGACCCTTAAGGAATGGTTTCCATTATTTCCATAAAGTGTCTCTATTTATTTTAAATAAAATCTACATAGGTAGGGAACACAAGTTTTAAGGCATAACTATAATAATTTTCTGGCTCTCCATCATCTTAACTTCTCCCCTCATTGACATGCTGTAAGTGCACATAATAAACCATTTGAGACTCCAAGGAGCCCACTGTATTTACAACATGATTACAAGGATACATGCATCAGACAAAAAGCCATACAGTTAAGAGCATGTTACATTCCCATTCCACAAGTGGTTAATGACAATATTATTTTACACATCAATAAGATGAAGCAAGCATGAAAAACAAGAATTACAAGATGTTGGACTCTGAGATTTATAGTTTGGGAGAACCTCCAAGTTCAGGTTCTTTCAGCCTAATTTATGTTGAGAGTTGGCTGTATATCATCATCAAACACTGGATGGCAGATTTGGGGGTTGGGTCAAAAGGGTAAAGTAAAATGATTACAATAAGGAGTAGTTAGCTGCAGGATGTTTAGCAGCACTAGTAATAAAGTGAGATGCCGGTTCTACATTCTAGGTCCTACTTTGAACCATTTCCATTTAATGGAGGGAAAAAAAATAGGGCACTAAAGTCTTGCCAGTTTCTCAAAACTACAGTCATTTCAGTCAAAGTAACCTACAGACACAGAAAAGACTAATGCTCCTACTTCTAATTTTATATAGGAGCTGGCCAAAATATCACCCCAAATTTGAGTATTTAACTTGGCCAACATATTAGGGAAATGCATTGGTTAAATAAGAATTCTCATAGTGGCTGTAACACCTAAGACCTATAGAAAGCACATCCCACTTATGTCCAATCTAGAGGTATGGGATAATCTTTGCGGATCTGATAAAAAGACAGGCCACTATTTTCCCAGGAAATAGTAAAGAGGCAGCAGTTAAGAGATTAACAAGATTTAGTGATTAGATGAAACTTGCCAAGTACAACGATTATTTTGCACCTGATTTGCCCTTTTAATAAAAATAAAGGACAATCTAGCCTAGCTAATGTACATATATTTTCTTTTCTACTATTATAATAATAATCATGAAATTTTACCTTGCAATCTGATACAGAGTTTGAGCTCTAAATAGGTTTTAATGTCACTTGTAAGAATTTCTTCCTGTCCCTTGTAATAATTCTTTCCAAGGCATTCCCAAAGAAATACATTTAGCTAAATGCCGTTTTCAGAAAATTCACACTGGAGTCACTACATGACTTGGCACGAAACATTAGAAAACTGGCATGGTATAAGCCTCAAAGACAAGTTAGCATCCAAGACATGCAACTGACTTTGCCATTCCTCCTTGAGATCCTACTACAAACAGCACCAGACATGAGGAAAGGAGAAGTTCATGCAGTGCTTACAGAGAATCAGAGAGGGCACCACTACCTGGAGGGTCTGGACTTGCTGGCCTGAGGCCGATGCCACCTGGGCCTCAGTCTGCAACTGGACAGCAGTGACACCACCCTGCTGCTGAGAACAGGAACAGGAAGAGCTTGAAATGTGTCAGGAAGGAAATGTATGGTTCAAGACATGAGATCACTTTACCTCTTAGAGGAGAGGGAGGGAGTTGTCTTTCAACAACCCTACCCTATGCAGGACTTTCCAACTGTACAGACTCCCTATCCTGAAGCTGTTTGGTTGAAGGAAGCAGGGTAGAAGATATTAGCCCTTCGTCCTCACAGTGGAACTCAAAACACACTTCCATGACTCAAAAAATGTCACTTGTCATCTTTAACACAAAAATTTTTAAAGCAGTCCTTCCCTCCACAAATAGGCATTTGGTCCTTTTGCCTACAAAGTTATTTTAATGCTCTTAATATTTCTTCAAATGAGTTCATAAGAACAAAGGTTTTAACAGCCTTAAAGATACAATGAATTTCTGGGGCTTAAATGCAATCATTAGAAAGAAAAAACAAAGCAATCACTGTGAACCAAATCATTTTCATGAGGTCACTACTCTCATGTCCCCAAACTAGGATTACTTCTACTCAACTGGAATACCTTACAAGCATTTTCAACATAATTTTTATGTCCTGTAATAGTAAGTTCTGACAGAACAAAAATTCACCCACCAGGGCACTGGTGTGAATGGAAGGCCCTTTGTGGAATCCCTTTTACAAAGAAGGCAGTTGAAAGAAGCTGCCAGAGCCACAGCAGCTGTATGGAAGGAAAGACAAATAAAAGAGTTTAAATAATTACTCTATTAATCAAGAGTAGCTCCTTCCCTTGATCAGTAGATAGAAGAACTCACTATCAAAATTTCCTTTGCCCTCCCTACAAACTACTTTTCTGTATATCTAACATCCATTTTGGAAACAAAATATTTCCAGTCTTGGCCTAAGGTTATATTGATACATGATAATTTTTCTTCTAGAGAGAAATACAAGGAAAGTTTCACTAAAATGAAGCTGGATATAAAGCACCAGAAAATGTAAGCTGTGTATAAATTCAAGAAAGCTATCCATTTAACTAAGAATAAACCAGTAGCAGGGAACTCCTTTCTAATGTGTGTTTATCCAAAAGAGCGGCTGTTTAACTACTATCCTCATGGTAAACTAGAACTTTTCAGAATAAGTACTGTGGTGGATCAAATCAAAGAGCTGGATTTCTTGGACGCTGACTATCCTGGTTTGTGTATTGTGGTCAAAACCTTAGTAGATCACTCACTAGCTTAATCAAGAAGAGAAACAACCAAATTGAATCCAGAAAAAACAAAAACTCCGAATTTCCATCTGAAAACAGACTAGGTGTTTTGACTTTTGGTAAGATAAAAAGGGGCAATTTAGTATTAAACCAAGCTCCCATGAAGAGCAAATTCTCAATGGTCACAGGCTGGATAGAGTTCTGAACACAGAAAACAGGAGAGAAATGACAACAAATTCAATCTTCAAAAAGCACTTCATTAGCACAAGTCCTCAGACTCATCATTTATAAGATCTGGTGCCTCTGAAGGAATTCCCCCATTGAGTAGTGCTGTTATCAGCTTCATTGCTGTGACATTTAAAGAAGTTTCACTTCCATACCTGTTGCTGAATCTGTCCGGCCTGTACAACAATCTGCTCTGTTGAACTATTGCTGTTCGCTGTATACTGCTCCATGGTTTTTCCAAGTTAGAATCCTGAACACAGTGAGTTTCACTCCGGAGATTGTAGAAGACTGTGAGATGCACCCCTATTAGAAATGTTGGGAAAGAAACAAGAGTAGGGATTGTCAATAAGGCTTCACCAGGTGATTAACCTTGAAACTTATCACTGTACTTTATTTTTAAGAAATCAGCATGAGAAACTAGAAAATTTTTATATACAGTGTCATTTTTAACTAGAATTACATGGCACAATCATAACAACACTACCATATTGCTATTTCACATTTTAAAAATGCTTTTAGTCATTTCATTGGCAATCTTACCTTTCAATACTAAACGAATAATACTTGCACCTTAGAAATACTCATGAGTTATAATATCACTTTGTCATAAGGCTTATTTAACACGAATTTTTAAGTCTGCACACATACTTTAGAGAAAAACGTTTAATTTATAACACACTTGTTGCCCCCCAAACATGTTACTCCAGTTTCCTAGGTATTTAAGACTTCAGGGTTTATATTTAGTAAGTAAATTACCCAGACCTGAAATCAAACGTTTATTTTGCTTATCAAAATCTCTATTAAGTGCTGCTAAGTAAAAAAGCCCTAGCGAAGATTTAGGAGTCTGCCTTTTAATCCAGAGCAAGAAATAAAACGGAATTATACTAATGGCAAAAATAATTTACAAATTAGAAATAAGGAAAATTTTTAAATGGCTAGGATCTTCTCTAAAAAGAACTTAAGTTTTCCCCAGTCTTGAATTTGAATGCCTAATAATATGCTGCCCTTTACTGTATCATTTTAACTTCTTACTATGGCAATTTTCAAATATATACAAAAGCAACGAAGAACATTATAATGAACCCCATAGCCCTCATCTAACTTCAACAGTTCTCAACGCACAATCTTGTTTCACATATGCCTCAATCACTTTCCATGCTCTGCTGGATTCTTTTGGAGCAAATCCCAGACACCACATTACTCCCCAAATCCATAAATACTTTAGTATCTATCTCTAAAGAGAAATACTTGTTTGTCTTTATCATTTTATCACAAAGATACTGTGTGTCTACAATATCATTCAAACATTAAAAAATTAGTAAGTCCTTAATATCATCATATAGCTAGTCAATGTCCAAATTTACCATTCTCATACACTTTAACAGTTGAAGGCTCTTTTTGAAATAAGGACACAATTAGGTAAATTGGAGTGATATTTGAGAACCATGAATCAAGATTTGATTAAAAAATTTAAGGGTAATTCTATTTAGAAATATGGGGGAGGCACAGGTATATAAACAAAATGCAGTAAATCTTTCTCTTCAATTTTTCTCTAGGCCTTCATAAATCCTAAAACTTGAATGATAAAATTATGTGAGCTAAGCTGCACATTACAGCAGCAAAGCAAGGCACCACTCTCCATAAATCTACACATAGTGGATGAAATTAATCACTTGTAAGGTGTCTCAATATTATGTGAAATAAAAATATATTCAAGTAAATGTCCAAGTATTTAGGAAGAAGTGTATTGATGTAAAAAATTTACTTTGAAATGAGTCAAAAAATAAGATTGATGGATGAATGGATGGAAGGATAAGTAGATATCTGGTAAGACAGGTATGGTACAATGTTAATGGTAAACTCTAGGTGGTGAGTATATAGGTGTTTATCATAAAATTCTAACTTTACTGTGTGTTTGAAAATTTTTACACTAAAATGTTGGAAGAAAAAAATCTAACAAAAATTAAATAAGCTTATCACTCATAACCAAAATGGTATGTAGTGTATAAGAGCCATAAATTAGTGACAGGATGACTGTCATCACAGGACCATGCACCTGGTCATACAGTTCACCAACTCAATACCTTTGCTCTAATGAAATACACACTAAGCAAGTATCTAGTTTTAATTTGGATTTACATATAGTCAATAAGGAGCACATATAATCAGCAACACAAGTAAATTTGATGGCTATATTCTCATTATACACTGACAAAATGCCACTCTGATCTTTACATCAGTCTCTTCTGAATTGGTTGACTGAGTCAGCTCCAAAGAGACACCTGAACAGTAAAGTCAGGTTTTGAACCAGACTAAGTGGCTCTGCCAGGGAAGTAAACAATCTTCCCTAAACTCTATCTTGTCTCTGCCAGTTACACATGATACATATATATGACTAAAGAATTAAGGGTCGTGATACAAAAGTGTAAATGTGACTTCATTTATATAAAACCCTAAAGGACAATAGTAATCTAGAGACAGAAAGCAGATCAGTGGTTCCCCTGGGACTGGAGAAGGACAGGGGGAGGGGAGAGGAAGGGGAAAGTGGGAGACTGGTTGGGCTAGAGTACCTGGACCTTTCTGGAGTGATGAAAATGCTCCCCCCC